GTGCTCTTCCGCGGAACTAAATGCTCTCCCATTTCTCATCCCCTTCTTAAACACACCACCCCCCCGCAACCCCTGCGCACTTCACTACTTTTACAGCCTCTAACGACTTTACAGTCTTACGGATTTTCATACGGCAGCCACCCTTCGCTCCGACCTCTTTCCTCGCACCGTCGCCGCTCCTTCACTTTCCCGAAATCGTATATTTCAACAAAATTACCATCTACTGGATTAGCACCAAATCCCCGGGCTCAACCGCATACTAATTTGACAAATAACGAACCCAAATATTTCCATTTCCCTGCTTCCTTCATTTGCACTATTCCAACTACGCTACAATAAATAACCACCGAATAAAGCACCCTTTGATTTTTACAATAAACAATTCAAAATTACACATAATTTAGCTAATTTAATAATGAACACGGATAAATTTCGATTTTGAATGTTAAATATTTCGATTGGAATGTAAGTAATTAGTAATGTTTTAGGAGGTTGCAAATAAGCGTCGGAGAGTGATGGTAGTTGCAAATAATACGAGGTTCGTTGTATTCATGATTTCGTATTCCTCACAGTAAATAAAGTTCTGAATGCGAAAAAGGAGGCAAATGGTTCGCGTGATAAAACAAAGGTTTCCGGTCAAGTTTGTCGCGTTTCCATGTCCGCGGGCGACTTTGAGAGAGGGGCGGCTCTGGAAACTACCCTACCTAACCACCAGCCCCTAGCAGCGGTCATCCCAGACGGCCGTTTATTTGAGAGAGAGAGAGGGAGAGAAAAACGGTTGGTAGCAATTAAAAATCGACGCCGGCGACGCCCGACGGACAAGACGGGAATTACATGCAAATCCGTGTCCATTACTTTCCACGGCTCGGACATAATCTGCGCCTATGATCTAATAAAACCCCGCGCGCGCTTTTCCACCCGCAGTAATTACCAACGAGGAAAAGGTTTTCTTTTTTTCGCTTAATTTTCCGCTGTTTCCACCTCCTTCCCCCATATTCTGAGCGTGCCTCCTATTTTACCTTCCCCCCCAACCCTTGCTGAACAGAAAAAAAAATAAAAATCACATACATAGCAAGTCAAAGAGACTAGAAAGTTACGAGTGTGCCCTCAGTATGGAATAGAATTGCAAAATTAACGTTATTAAAATCGCTTCCGAATGAAAATTCCAAGTGTAACAGGCTGTGTGTGTATGTGTAGTAAAGAGGATGATGGTGGTGGTGGTCTAAAATGCACTACAGCGGCTCGAAAACGGCAGAATTTCAAGTGGCTGCTAATTAATACCACTAATTGGAGGTTCCCCCTCGCTCGGCAGCGGTCCAGGCGAGTAGTGGCGTCGCGACGCCGTCGACGTCAAAGCGACGACCCCGCTGGACGCCACGCATCCACCCAAGTTTGGCGTTACGCGCCGCTTCGAATAATTTTTACGTTGGCAATATGACAGTTTTATTCCTTAATTAGCGTGCGGCACCGTACATCAGGTTGGCGTTGCGCTGCACCCCTCCCCCCTACCCCTCGACCCGAATGAAAAATGCCCTTTAAATCTGCAATTATTCTTACGCAATCTCGAATTACAATGGGAGAAAAACGCGTAAAGTTTCGCTCGGTTGGGGGAGGGTCGGCTCGTCCAAAGTTTCGTCGCGAATGAATTGCGGATCCCGCAATCCTTTTATGATCTTCCACTTCCCTCCCCCGCGTTATCCACACTTTACAGCCTTTTATCTGACGTAACGCGAATAAAATTATCGAATTTAAATTCTTGCCGGAGCTGTTGAGTTGTGCAGGGGGGGTGGGAGGTGGGTTGTGGAGGATTGTAGACGGCAGGCGGCGTTTAAAAGCTCCGAGTTTAAATCGAAGTCTTCTGTATTCAAATGCAATTAGCGGAAACGGAAAATTTTAGCGGTAATTAGTAAACAATCGGAGCGAAAGAGTTTTATGCGCGCGCGAATTTATGCGCAAGTTTAATTGGTTCCTTACTTTTATTCCTTTTCACTTCGGAGCCCATTTGAAAAGGAGAAATTCTCAAGTGGATTAAGTAATTAGTTCCCGGCGAACATAAAAAAAAATGAAAGAAAGAAAGAAGAAAAATTATATTATTATACTCCTTGATTAATAGTTTTTAATTTAAAGCTTAAAAGACTGGAACAAAAAAAAAATTGCACAAACAACTAATTATTACTAATTATGTTTGTATTTTGATGGGTTTCATGTGTATAACAAGAAATATATTTATTGGATTGCAGTTTCAACACAAACTCTCAACAAACCTCTTAGAAGACAATGGCTCAACTATCGAACTCAAAAGTTTTAACACCCTGGACTTACCACTTAGGTTTAATTAATATAATCTTATAAGAAGCTAATTTGAGAACACTCTCACGTAAGTAATCCACCTATCAAATATCTACTGAAATATAATCAAATAAATAACTAATGTTCACTTAAATATTCATATTGCTTAACTGACGAATATAAATCATCCACCAATTAGGTCATGGTGTTGAATATAAACTCCGCCAATTAAAAGTATAGATTTTTTTGTCTTTTTTTTTTTTTGTTCTTTAGAGGAATATTTCGCAGAGTTTATAGTAATTGGTGTAAAAGATTTTAATCGCGAAAATTAGTGCAGCTTTTCACGAGTTTAAAGTGTTGCGTTTTACTTTCTTAATAAAAAAAAAAAAACATGAGATTATCGTGGTGATATATACGACGTTATGCGCTTTATAAATTTTAGAAGAAAATTAACAGCCGCAAAAGAAGTGCATTTTGAGTCAAGTCTGGATATAGATTATACATTTACATACTAATTAATGAAAGCATTTATATGAAAATTAGTGCAGTATGGAAATTTAATTAGTCATAAATATAGAATAACACGAGCTTTGGATTGCAGAATATCAGATTTAGTTTAATTCCTTGAAAATCATTTATTAAATAAAAGTAAGAAAATCTATGTTTTACGAGAGATTTATATTGAAAATAGTAATAATATTATAATTGACAATTTGTTTGAATTAGAATTTAGTCCCAGAATTAGGTGGCCAATGTCTGTAGAGTCTACAGTGTAGACATTTATTGGTTTGAAAAACTCTGTATACTATGGATGTAAGTAAAGTCAATTTTTGAATGCTTAGATTAAGTTAATTTAAGTAAGTTAGCGAATAAATGGAGGTTAGAGTGCGTTTTGGTTTTGGAGTTATTTTGCGTTTGTAATTTAATTTAAGGGGGGTCCATTGTAGTGTGCGGTGGTAATTCGAAAAGCGTTCCGCGTCGTAAACAATCCGAAAACCGTCCCTAAATATAAAATCCGGGGCGACAGTGGAACAAAGCGCTGCACCTCCAAGAAGGCGCCCCCTCCTCCGCCCCCCCAACAGTCGTCGGAAACTTTGTCTCGCTCGCACTTGTTCAGCCACAACGTGCGACGTTCTCCGTCTCGCGCGCGCCGCCCCCGCGCTATTCTTGCCACTCTTTATCTCTCCCTCGTTAAATCGTCGAGACTATACAGCTTGTTAGGAATGCGTCACTGTTGTGTTAATTAAGAGAAAGAGTTAATTATGCTTAACAAGTTATTTCGCAAACTTCTCTCTTCCTGTCTCCGCTCTCGCGCTCTCCTCTCCCCCATTTTCGCATCCCTTATTTATTTTTATTTCATCAACAGGATGGGGCGGCGGCGCGCGGGTATCGTTTCGGGGGCTTTTCGATATTTACAATTAGAGCAGTTCCTAGGGCTTAAGCTGCCAATTATCTGGAGAGTAAATTGGTGGAATTAGGATCCCTCGCGTATGAGCGCTGCATGTGCAAGTGATATGCCCTCTCCCAAATACACACACACACATATATTATTCATAGATATACACAAAACCCAATTTTGTTGCAGATCAATCCGAAAATTCCCATTCAACTGGAGGGTCTATAATCGGAATACATGTTACTAATTCATCGCGATCCTGGATGGAATTATAAATAGCTCCGATATCTCCACCCTCTTAACAACGTTTCATCTGCTTACACCCCCTTTATTTTCGAATAAAATGTATAGTGTGCGATTCGTTATTCTTCTCCAACGGTAAAAAAGAGAAAGAAACAAGTTCAATAATACTTTGATCCGATCGTGACATTAAGACGGAAATACGGGCGGATTTTACGCAGCGCGAAAGGCATCAAATCAAAGAATTGTCTGGCAGTGTTTGTGCAGCCTTAATAACTTATATTAGTGCACCTGTTCCCTATAAAAGTATAAAATATGGTGGTTTAAAGTCGCGCCAGACGGTAAAAACGGGCCGTGTTAACACACATTGTACATTTCGCACGTTCCCGACACCCTCTCGGATATATTTATCTACGAAGGAAAGGAAAAGAGAAAAAAACTAATATAGCATAGCATGAGCGCAGTCCAAGTGTCCAATAAAAATGGGTATACGGGAGCAGGAAAAAGGTGGGTGGGTTTCGGTGCCGAAATCATTTGGAATTAGTCTGCGAAAGTCCAATTTATAGTTTCCTGTAAAATAGTTGGAAATCCCTCAAAGTGAATCGATATATAAAGGGAACTTGAAACAGCGGCTCTAAGTTGAAATAAAGTCTGGCGAAATTTCGACACCGAGGGGATGCTGATGCTGAGAGGGAGGGTTTGGTCGCCCATTCAAGAGCCAAAAGCCGCACAATGACCAACTTTCTAAGCGCTCCGACTCCAAACTTGCGCTAATTTCCATGTAAAACAATTGCGCGATATATTTGCGACAATAAGGCTATTTACCAACTGTTCAGCATCGGGAAAGCACCCTTTGGGCGCTGAATTATGACGTGGAACTCAGCCTCAACCTCCCTCCCTCACCATCAGCAAACTAAATATGATTTCGTCGGGAATTTCACCTGGAATTCTTATAATTAATAAAATACAAGCGGGCGCGCGAAAGTTTTTAATTAAGAAGTTCGCCGCGGCAATTAAAAGAAAATAAACAAATTCTCCGCATTGTTCGCCGCAAATTGCCGGGGTTACGGAAAACATGGAAAAACTGCAATTCATAACGCGCGAATTGAATCGGTTATTCGGCCTGGACCACAACTGTTCTTCCTTCAACTCCTTGGGGTCGTCTCAACTGCTGCAGATCGTTGTAGACGTCATGGTGCATCTGCAGTTGACCACCGATACCCATTCGGAGAATCCAGCCTACGTAATCTTGAGTATTTTAAACTCGATCAAATACACGCCCGATGGTAATACGATTAATCCGGAGGACTTCAGAAACGGTTTGATCGAAGGCCAAAAGAACGTCGTTCATCCCATCTTGCATTTCATGTTGACCAATCAGAAGGCTGTCAAGAAACGTCATTACTTGTCACAATTTGTAAAGAAAATCGAAGTGCCCGAAGAGTGCAGAGACGATTCACACGGTAGATACGAACAAGCGATCGAATTGTTTTGGGAGACTTACAAAGAGAACCAGAAATACCAGCAATTAGCGTCGGAGACTTCTGAATTGCAAGAGGACATGTGCAAGATGCGAAGCGACCTCAAGAACCTCAACGCTAGGATCCAACAACAAAAATCTAAATTGAGCCAAGAGAATATCGATGGTAAACGATTCGAATCAATCAAGACATTCTCCAGAGAACTCAAACACTCCAACAAACTGCAAAAGCAGTTGACCGAAGAATCTCTTAAACTAAGCAACTTGGAACAAATCTATTCCGCTTTAAATTGCAGAAAACGAATAACGAGTCTAGAAGATTTATTGGAGCAGAGCGAACGACATCAAGAAACAGTGGATAATCTAAAGAAAGCGTTAATTCTAATGGAATCAGAGAAAGAAATATATTCCAAGGTAGAAAACGAAATTAACCCTAATAATTACGAACTCGATTATTTGGAAAATCAAATAGAGGAAATTCAGACAACCATCAATTTGTCTGCAAATAACAGAGATTCAACGTGTGAAGTATTTATAAACCAACTGAAAACATTCGCGAAGAAAAAGCAGCAAATCTCCAAGCAGATCGCAAAAGTAAGATTCGATAATGAATTGATACTTTTGAAAATACAAAAGATTTGTTCAGTGCTGGGTGGCGATGTTTTGCAGGGGAAGAATCTGAAAGATTACGTGACGAAATTGCGTGAAACCAGCGTTGATTATAAGAAATTGAAAATCCAATGGAACGGTTTACAAGCGGAGCTCGGTGTTTTGCAGCGGACAATGGACATATTGAAATTGGATAATCCCGAATTAAGTGATTTTCGAGAAGTTGCTTCGCCGAAATCTCGTGACGAAATTAAAGCGAAATCGAGGGGGTACGAAAAGTTGCGAAACGATGCGTTGATTGTAGAAATCGAATATAGAAGAGTCAAAGAATCTTATGACTGCGTGAAAGCGGATTGGGAGGAAGCAAAGGCGACGTTCGACGCTGCTGTTGGGGGTCTAGGAGAGGATATTGAAATATTGAGTACAAATTATAGTAATGTGCAGGATATGATTGAGATGGAAATGGAAACTTTGAATAGGTGCGTGGAGGAGGCCGAGAAGTTTAAGGAGTGTTTGCTGAAATTTTCGCAGGCTGAGATCGAGGCTGGCGATGAAACGTATTTGGAGGTGGTGAAAGACAAATTGAAAGTTTTGGAAATGACGAGATTCGATCTTGTCAAGAAAATGGATGCGAAAAATGAGAAGAATCGAAGTTTGCAACAAGAGATTTTACAAATCAGAGGATGCATTGAGATGATAAATTGTAAGAGTTACGTTAAGTAGAAAATACAATTTTGAGTTTATGTTATAATTATTTATGATTAATTAAATTATTGTATCAGGGGAATTAGTGATTTAATATAATTGAAATCAGTAGGCGTATATCAAATTAGTGATTGTTCAATTATTAATGTTTGATGTTCGATTGTGTATGACATATTGCTTATTGTTTGACTTGATTGCTAATTAAATGTGTTAATTTAATTATGTATATAATTTTAAGTATCATTAAATAATGTACAACATTTACATGTTTATTACTCAATTAATTCAGGATAATTGTAAATATTTTTAAATTTAGTCACAATTCGAATTATTTCTTAATCGAGAAGAAACGAGAGAATACGAACATAATTAAGAAAAGTGTGTATAATCCCCCTTCCGAATGGCGCGTAATGAAATCTGCTAGTGATCCGATGGATTTTGCATAGGAAAATTTTTCAAAGCTGCCAATTTACTCGCCGTTTTTTTTTGTTCCTCTCCACCGCTTTCCATTCTTTCTCTCTCTCTCTCTCTCTTTAAAACGCGGGGGTGGAGGAGGAGGAGGGCTGAATAATTAGCGATTTAAGTTATTAATTTCCTTCGCGTTCGCCGACGGTCGTGGTTTAAAAAGAACGGCGAAACGGAAAAAAAAAATCTGCAGCCGCACGCGGTTTCGATGAAATAATTATTCAAGATTAAAACGCGATTAATCAGGGACGGCTGTAGCGGTGGTAAAATGCAAACAAAGAAATTTTTCCGTGGACTCCGACGTATCCATAAATCTTACGATTTTTTTTTTGCATAGCCCCCTAAGAGAAGCCCGTTTTCGTCGCCACCCGCGATTAAAAAGTGAAATGAGGCAATTAATAAATAAATCGCGCTCTTCACATTTCCGCGATTAGATTTCAATACGGTGTATATTTCTGTAGGTGTTTTTTTTTTAATTTCTCTCGATTAGCGGTTATATACTTTTTTTCCCAGTGTTCGAGGCACGTGAAGTTTTGCGCGCAACCCTTAATTAAGGGAGCAGCTAATGAACTGCTCAATCGATATAATCCCACTGGCGTGGCGGATCTGATACGGCCCTTAATTTATTCAATAGTTAATTATGCCACTCTTTGCTTCTCTCGTTCTACCACACTTTACATTACATTTTAACCTCGACTTACAGGACGCCCTTTCTCTGACACATTTCAGCGATTTTGCAACGCCGCTCGCTTCCTGCAAACTACATATATTCTTATCTGCATACCGAAAATAACATAAGACCATTTAAGATCATTGCATACATTGGACTCATATTAAAATGATATGCGAAATTACCGGTAAATTATAAGAAAACAAATATTGGTAATTTCAGTAATTGAAATTACATGTTTATAGTTAAAGTATAAAACTTTTATGAAATTATTTACCAGAAGTTTTATGTTGATTATAGAAGTAGTATCAAAGTAGTTTTAAAGTGTGGATCTTCGTCAATTTTTACCCTTACGAGATTCGTTCTAAACAGAAAAATGTCCGATTTGTAATATTCGAAACCACTTGGAAATAGTCATAAGGGATGATGCATTCATTCCATATGCATTTTGGCTTTCCTAACAAATTTGCATAGGCTTGAGTTGACTTCGAAATCCGTAGATTTGAATGGCAAAACAATTTTTTGCAGTGTTGGTGGTGGAATTTCTTCCAACTTTACATCACTTATCTTGCATTTTCTCCTATCCATTTTTACCGATCTTCTTGAAATTTGACATCAAATATCGATAGACTTTAACAAATTGAGAAACAACTTTTGTTTTTTTCAAAAACAAATGAATTAATGCCAACTAAACGAACTTTCGTTAGAGTATATTATATAATTAAAAATCTGAATAAGATTGAAAATAACCTCAGTCCATATCTTTATATCTCTA